TGTGAGGGTCCCCTACTTCTGTGGGGGGTGGGGCCGCTGCCACTCACCTTTGTGATAGGAGCCTCGATGGTCATGGAGTGGATCCTTGCCATGGATGGGTAGCGACGATTCTGTAGGCTTGGAGCTGGACAGGAGGCAAGAAAGATGCATCGGGTTTTGGTGGCTCAGCTTGATTAAGAGTAGCAAAGAAGTCCCTTCATGGTTTGGGGGTCCAATTCTCACAGAACTATGCTCCTCCCAGTAAAAGCAATGAGATCACCCATCCGTCCTTCCACAAAGGCTGACAACTCAGATTATATTTGCCTGAGCTTGGAAAGGTGATCTGACCTGGAGGTCTGGTGGCAGGAGGGCTTGACCAGTACAGGTCCATGAAGGGGAATTGCAAATATGGGATTGCAAAGCCTCATCTCAACAGCCTAATCATCCTCTGGGGCTCATTTTCCTATAAGTCACTATAGCCAAACTTGGGCAGTTCCACCACTTTGGGTTCTAAGTCACTGGCCATGTACCCCGGTAGCTATGCAGCTGGGGGGGGGAGGGGGGAGAGGCACGGTTCAGTGAGGGCAGGGCCAGAAGACTGAGCCCACTCTCAGTATGAACTGGGGCCACTCACTTCTTCTTCCTGAGCCATTAGGCTTTTAATGCCCAGAAGCCCTGGTGGTTCTAGTTCTCATTTCCAGGAACTTTCATTTAAAAATAACTTCTCTGTGTGTGTAAACAATGCTTACACATGGCTTAAAATTCAAAAGGTAGACACTATACTTTAAAAACACTGTTCTCATCAGACCTCTTCTTCTTCTTCTTCTTCTTTTTTTTTAAAGGTTTTTGCCATAAGACATGTTTGCTCACTGGAGAGAGAGAGAGAGTGAGAGGGAAATTGAGAAATCACTCCCTGGGGGGAATGGCCATGCAGCAATCCCTTCTCTTCCATTCTCCTTCTGGGATTTTGGGGCACACATGCACTCGGCATGAATTTCAGTCCGCCAGGTCCAGAATTCAAACTGTGGTTGGCCATGTGGGAGTCCAGCATCTTAACCACCACGCCACCTGCTGGTTCCTCAGGAGACCTTCTTACCCACTCCCGATGAGGCAGGCAGGAGGGGTAGAATGTCCCCTTCACAAAAGGGCTTACTCAGCCCAGCCAACATCAGCAGACCCTGCCTGCCACCCAGCCACCTTTGTGGTCTGCCCTGCTGCCGGCATAGCAACCACTGCAGTCTTCTCTACTCCACTTCATCTGTGCTGGAGAGACAAAGATCCCACCTCAAATTCTACTTCAAAAATGGAGTTAATCTAGTTCAAACTCCCTCACTGATTATCCTAGCTAAAGTATTCTGTTTATACCCCTATTCCAACTCAAAATATTTCAACCCCTATTCCTTTCTTTACATTCTTGGCCTTAGTCCTCTGCAAGCCCTGCGAGTCAGCCCTCTCCAGGTATCTCCCATCTTGTCTGGCATCATCGGTCCTTGCTACCTCAGCCACTTTCCTCATGCTCGGACTTCCCGTGTGACCTAAAGAGCTGGAGATCCTTCACTTGACCATCCTGTTCACTCTCTGAGTTACGAGCCCACAGTTCTCCTTTCTACCACGGGCAATAACCACACCCTCTGCATATTCTCAGGTGGTCTGATCCCTGCAGCATTTCACACCATGGGCGGCTCGCTCTCGACACCCTCTTGTTCTTGATTTGTACAACACTACTCACATGGCTCCAGCTCTAGCTCTGCTGGCCTCCTCCCTGGCTCCATTTCCTCTGCTTCCCTCCTCACTGAGGGTGTGTGTGTGTCTTCAGGCCTGGACTTAGACCCTCTGTTCTTTTACTATACATACACATGAGTACACACACAAAAATCACGTGCCCCTTAGAGATCTTCCTCTGTTCATGACCTCATCTGTTACCGCTAGGATTCCCAAATCCACTTCTCTAGCCCTGAGTACTAGTCTTCCATTTTAGCTTCTTAGAGATCTCCATTAAAATAAAACTTATGGGTCCAGCAGGCGGCAGGGTGGTCAAGGTAGCTGGATTCCCACATGGCCAATCATAGTTCCAGTCCTGGACCCAGTGGCTTGGAAATCACACTGGATACGCATGCATGCATACCCAAGATCTCAAGAGGAGTATGGAGGAGAAGGGATTACAGCATAGCCATCTCCTCTGGTGGGGGAGGGGGGATTTCTCACTTCTGCTCTCTCTGTATATCTCTGTCTCTCTCATTTCTGGTGAGCCCATGTGCCCCATGGCAAAACCTAAAATAAGCAAACAAAACTTACCAACTTCTCCTCAGCCCTCAATCTGCCATACTTGGAGACTTCACTATTTCTATAAATGTTTCGTAATTTCATAGGCACAAAGGAATGAAATTTCAGAATTTTTTTTTTTTACTTCTTCATTTTTTCTGCAAATCCATCTATTGGGTCATCTGAAAAGTCATGATGCATTTTTGCATAGAAAAATATGTCATAACTTCCCTGATGACCCAATGCTTACTTAGGTCTCTCTGAACTAAAAAATGTTTTGCTAATTTCTGCTTTGCAGGGCAGAAACATTTTGCTAAATTCTGCCTCATGGCTTCTCTGTGACATTTTATTAAGGGACAGCAAATACACAAAGCAGGGACACTCAGAATGGGATCTATCTTGGGAATTGCGAAGCTGGGACTCTGGTGCCCTGTCAGTAGTGCCCAAGAATGACTGTGACTAGCTACTGGAGGCTGAGTGGCGTGGGGAGTTATGTGACCCAACTCACGTTAGGTCTTCAAGGAACAAGCGTGGAGCCACGTCAAAGGGAAGACAAAGACTGTGGAAAGCATAAAAGAACTTTAAAACCCTAAAAAATGTTTAGCTTACTGAAAGAGAAAAGTCAATTTATTGGAAATATTTTTGCATAGAAAAATATGTCATAACTTCCCTGATGACCCAATGCTTACTTAGGTCTCTCTGAACTAAAAAATGTTTTGCTAATTTCTGCTTTGCAGGGCAGAAACATTTTGCTAAATTCTGCCTCATGGCTTCTCTGTGACATTTTATTAAGGGACAGCAAATACACAAAGCAGGGACACTCAGAATGGGATCTATCTTGGGAATTGCGAAGCTGGGACTCTGGTGCCCTGTCAGTAGTGCCCAAGAATGACTGTGACTAGCTACTGGAGGCTGAGTGGCGTGGGGAGTTATGTGACCCAACTCACGTTAGGTCTTCAAGGAACAAGCGTGGAGCCACGTCAAAGGGAAGACAAAGACTGTGGAAAGCATAAAAGAACTTTAAAACCCTAAAAAATGTTTAGCTTACTGAAAGAGAAAAGTCAATTTATTGGAAATCTTTTTTTTTTTTTTATAAAGAGAAATTTTTGCTATAGGGTGCATGTGCTTGCCAGAGAGACAGGAAGTGAGAAATCACTCCCCAGGAGGGATGGCCATGCCACAATCCACTCTCCTCTTAGGATCTTGGGCACACACACACACGTGCCTGGAGTGAGTTTTAAGTCACTGGGTCCAGGACTCAAACCACGGTCGACTACATGGGAGTCCAGCGATGTAATCATTACACCATCTTCTGGTCCCCAATTTATTTGAAATCTTACTTGAGATTTAGGTACTGTGAACTCTTGATCATATTCCTCTGTCATTTTCTACATCTTACAAAGGTTAAAGAAATATAAAATCTTACCGTCACTGCCTCGAGAAGATATCGATTTCACATCAATGGATTCTTTCCTCCTGTTCTTGTATCTGAATGAATGAGGCTCTAAGGATTTCAGATTAGAAATGGAGGGTGATTACTTTTCAGAGTGTTTACAGATGAAGTTCAGACACATTTTTTTCCTTATTATACAAGAAAAACAAGGTTTACTTTTTTTTTTTTGGTAGAGGTTTCTGCCTTAGGGTGTGGATGCTCACCAGGAGAAGAGAGAGAGACAGAGACAAGAGAGAACATGAGAAATCACCCGTTGGGAGGATGGCCACACTGCAATCCCCTGTCCTCCATTCTTTCCCTGGGATCTTGGGCATGCACACACACACGCCCAAATGTGAGTTTCAAGCCACCAGGTCCAGGACTTGAACCACATTTGGTCATGTGAGAGTCCAGTGATGTAATCATCTACTGGCCCCCACAAGGTTACTTTTTAAGCACTACAAAATAATTTTATGGGGCTGGCTCCATAGCCTGGTGGTTAAAAGAAGCCAGATCCCCCATGACAGACCATGATTTGAATCTTGGTCCTGCCTGGCTTGAAGAACACACCAACATGTGTGCATGTGTGTCTGAAATCCTGACAGGAGAGAGAAACAGAGTAGAAAGGACTACAGCGTGACCCTTCCCCATGGAGGATGCCTTCTCCCTTTTTCTCTGTTTTGCTCTTAAAAGTACATGTGCCCTTCGGCAACTAAAGAAAAAAAAAGTAGTACACCACTCTCTTCAAAACATCAAGACACACAGTCACCAGCCGTGTGAACAGTACGATGCTTTTCTCTGGGGTCACCACATTACATCGCAGGAAGGGAGTGTATTAGCAGGAGTTAGTTAGTTCCATGTATACAATATCATGTTGAAAACAAATATTAAGAATTGGGGGAATTTGGGAGGGGAGTTAATCCTGATTTGAAGGACAATACCTATACCTAGATAGGAAAGCTCCATGGGGAGATTTAAAAAAACTGGGGGGGGGGGGGGAGAGTCCTTCAAAAAGTTCATAAAAAATGTATATTATGAAGAAGAAAAAACTTTTTGTGGGTTTCCAATTTTTTAGCACTAAAATAAGCTCCTTTAATTTTTGTTTCATGATTTTGTTTTTCAGAGAGATTTTGCTATAGGGTGCATGCCTGCGCTTGCCAGAGAGATAAAGAGAGACAGCGAGAGATCACTCGTGGGGGCATGGCCATGCTGCAACCCTTTCTCCTCCATTCTCCTGTCAGGATTTTGGGCACACGCACGCATGCCCAGTGTGAGTTTTAAGCTGCTGAGTCCAGGACGCAAACGACGGTCAAATATGTGGGAGTCCAGCAACGTAACCATTACACCATCTGCTGGTCCTGTTTCATGAATCTTTAACTTTTCTGCTGTCAGAGGGTGTATGCATTCACTGGAGAGAGAGGAGATGGAGAGAAAGAAGCACCACCCATGGGGCACGGTCACACCACAGTCTGTCTCCATTTCTCCACCCGGTCAGGATTTGGGGCATGCATGTGCATGTACCAGGTGTGCTTTTCAAGTCACCTGGGCCAGGACACAAACTACAGTCAGCCAAGAGGGATTCAGCTCCTACACAGGGCACTTACCCACCCACTACAGGCTGGCCCTTCATGAACTTGGTGACACCCCCTAGCATACTGCTGTTGAAATCCACAGAGATTTTGAATGATCCGAGAAAGCAATCTGAACCAATTTCAGGCACCTCTGAAGAGTTAAAGATTTAATATTAAATTTAAGATGAAAGAATCAAGAATTTCTCAAAATGTAGTTTCTAAATGAAACTAAAAGTAGAAAGATTAGTTTCAAACCTGTGGTCCAGGCTGGCTGGTTGGATTCTAATCATTTGTTAGAAATTATTCCAAGAAGAGGCCAAGTGGTGGGGTAGTGGTAATGCAACTGTCCCCAGGGGAAAGGTCCTGGGTTTGTGTCATGGGCCCTCCCTGTGCACCCGAGGCACAGGTACACATCCATGATACAAGCTTCTGAGAATAGTGGGTCGGGGGATTGTGGCATAAAGACTCTGCGTGAGTGCCTCTCTCTCTCATGGAAGAAATAAGTAAACAAACTTTTTAAAATTACTTAAAACAGGTAATTTATTCTTCCTGATTTTACCACAGTTAAAATGAACAGACTTTACGGAAATAGAAATGATTAAAATTTGGAGGAATTGGGGCCAGCAGGTGGCATAGCAGTTAAGACAGTATACTCCCATATGGCCCTCCATTTTGTGGATGAGGAAACCAAGGGTCAGATGGTCTCACCCAAGGACTGAGATGAGTGAATGGTGAACTCAACAAGAACTTAGTACTCTGCCTCCTGGCTCAAGGGAAATGTGCCATCCACACTTTCTAACTGTATAGTCACCAATTACTACAGAGGGGGGATTGAACATGGCTCGCCAACCATATTCTTGCCTGTGTCTCATCCAATCTGTATCTTCCCTAGACTTTCGGGCCATTCTCTATTTTATTTATTTTTTATTTATTTATTTTAGTTTTTATGCCATAGGGCACATGCACTTGCTAGAGAGAGACAGAGACAGGGAAAGTGAGAGATCACCCCCAGGGAAGATGACCACTCTGCAATCCCTTCTCCTCCATTCTCCTCTAGGAATTTTGGGGACACATGCACACATACCCAGTATGATTTTTAAGTCACTGGGTCCAGGACTCGAACCTCAGTCAGCCATGTGGAAATTCAATTTCTTAACCACCATGCCACCTACTAGCCCCGGGACACTCTCTATTTTAAGATTATCTGCTCTGAATAGTCTCTAGTCAAAAAAGAAAACCAAGATGGGGATTCAGTAGGCATTCTGCCATGAATGAAGATGCAAGGCATTTTAAAAGGATTCCTGCTTTTCTTCTGACTCTCCAACCTTTCTATGGTAATCCTTGGATCTTACCAACAACCCACATTCTGGGTGGTGAATGTCAGTCTAGACATTGCCTGAACGATTTATAGACTTGAGCCCACCAACGCCTCCTCAGTATACTAGAGGAAAACTGAAGTAGTCTCACCTGTTTGTGAATTGTCTCCCGAATCACGATGAATCTTGTGAATCTAAAGTCATTCAGAAATTTAGCAAAACAAGAGAAAGAGAATTTTAAATATACTATTTACTTAACTTATCAAATAATTTAGTTAAAAAAGCTCTGAAGGCTTCAAGAAAGCAAGAAGTTGCACAGATAACACAGACAGATGAAAGATGAACACCGAGTAATACTTCTACAATGTCTACTTCTGGGCACATTTAGGGTGGCTGGGCCTGTGCAGGCAGGGACCCCAGGGACGTCCCTCCTAAGCAGGACATTTCGATCTCAAGTCAGCTAGTCTCATTTTGACAGACTGAAAACATACCGAAAGACAAAAATATACAGCCTGTTTATGTTTTGGATACGTTATGTTTCTGTAATCCAAAAGTAACCTGAATTTAAGCTTGGGATTTAAGACTCTTCCTTAAAAGTTCTTTAAATGCTCATCTGCTATAGACAGTTGATTTATAAAATGTGTCTTCATAATGTGATCTGAACTTTAAATGCAATTTGGCACTCATTTCTTTCTCATTATCAATTTTTTTTGTGCTAGTGATTTTTACTAATGTTCAATAAAGATCTGTCAAATGATGAAATGAAGTCATGAACACTCGAAATAATAAATGAGCTTTCTTTGGCATTTTTCATTTCTTGCATTTATAACTGACCAGAACCGTCAGCGGGGCCCAATCTGCCTGTTTACAGGGGCTCAGACCAGTAAGGCTGGCAGTCACTCAATGAAGGGGTGGGTTAACCTGAAAACCAAGGCATGGGCGTGTGCAGGACTGCAGTGAAGGCAGAGCAGTGCGGCTTAGCAACATCGACTGCCATCGCCAGAAATTCCCTATGTATCAGATAAAGGCAAATGCTCTGCTGTGACTGAACCATTGAAAAATAATTATGGAGAGCCAGCAGGTGGCATTGAGGTGAAGGCACTGGATCCTACATAGCCAACTACGTGACTGTGTGGTTCGAGTCCCAAACCCAGTGGCTTAAAAATTACACTGGGCGCATGTGCATGCATGTTTAAAATCCCAAGAGGAGAATGGAGAAGGGATCCCATGTGGCATGGCCATCCGCCCTGGGGGGGTGAGTTCTCACTTTCCCTCTCTCTGGAGAGCGCACACACCCTACAGCAAAACAAAGAAAAAAAATCATGTAAAAGTGAAGAGTTAAGATCGGGTTTTCTTCAATCCCTTCCTCTTAGTCCATCCCACGTGACTGCAGAAACAATTGCATGACCAACCTTTGTGGTATCTTGGTTATAACATGACTAAGGGCTATGACTCATTTATCCTATAATTATGGGACCTTTTCATTTCATTTTTTTTTTCCTGTGAACAATGGTTTTGTTTTCCTTTGGGGATAAAGACCATTCACTAAAAAAAAGACTGCGCTCAATGTGCATTTTTTACACTGTACCAAATGAATAAAACTTTTGCCTGGCAAATTATTTTCTCAGTCAGTGTTAGCTAAAGAAAAAGCGATTTTTTTTTTTGAGAGGTTTTTGCAATAGGGTGCATGTGCTCACCAGACAGAGAGAGACAGAGAGACAGAAAGCAAGAAATCACCCCCCAGGGGGGTGGCCACACTGCAATCCCTTCTCCTCCATTTTCCTCTCGGGATCTTGGGCATGCACACACACGCGCCCAGTGTGAATTTAAGCCAGTGGGTCCGGGATGTGAACCGTGGTCGACTACACGGGAATCTAGCGACATAGCCATTATGCCAACTGCTGGTCCCAAGAACAAGGGATCTTTAAATGCTTAGTTTTCTAAGTCAGAATATCTCTCTCTTTCAGGAGCAAAGTCTCACGATACGCCACATTATAGAAAAACTCTCCTCTCATCAGCCATTGGGCCCCACGGGCCAGCTGCTTGAGTCACAGAGACCCTGAAACTTCAGGGCGGGCTTTGCAACCTGCCTACAGTAGAGTGGAGGAAGCACCAGGCTGGTGGTGCATGGCTGACCCTGCTTTGCAGTGGAGATGGGCCCAGCCCCCAAGAGGGAGATGAAGGGATAGGAGTGGGGGTCCCAGGTGCTAGTTCCATCCACAGAGGTGGCTCTGGCCCAGCTTCCTCCACATATGATGTTGCATCTGGCCCTTCTTAAGCTGGACACACTGCCCTGGATGGTCTCCTCTTCCTCCGGTGGGCTGTCTTGGTGCCCCTGACAGAGCAGGGGGGTTCTCGCTTTGCAAGCACAGACTTTTCTGGGCAGCACCGGCATCTGCTCCCAAATCCTATTCGCTGACTCTCCTTCCTGTTGCGCTGTGGCAAGAGCAGTGGGAAGACCACTGTCTTCTCTGTCCCACACCAGCCGCTAGATTTTTCCTGAAGCTTTCCAACTCGGAAGGGCTGTGTTTCTTTAGAATACTCCACATTACAACTAAAGATTCACTTGGATGGCAAAATTCTCTTAGAATTTTCTTCCAAAGGTCTAAATCCGCCAATCATTTATAACTTGGAGGAATGATTCCCCTAAAATTATTTTCCTCATAAAACTTGGTCGAGCTCACTGATAAAATAAATCGGTTAATGAGCAGTTAGTTCTGCGGTTTGGGGTCCCCCATGGCGGGCAGCCAGGGGAGGCTCCGGGGCTGGTGGCCTGTGGAAGGAAAAGGGATAAACTTCGCCTGTGACAACAGCATCCATCGCTTCCATGTTTCGTACGTGCTGGAAGTTTTACCCTTGCACTTAGTCATTAGCACAGCCTCGCAAGGGAGGAAGCAGCGTCGTTCCTTTCTGGAAACAGGGAAGCTGCAGCGCAGAGAAGTCCAGTGACTTGCCTAGACCACACAGAGCCCAGTTTCAAACCGTGGTTCCCTCCAACGTCAAAATATCACTCCTTGTCCCTCTGCTCTCTATGGGGAGGCCCAGAGAGAAGTCCCAGCCCAAGCTCGTTACACTAGAGTCTAAGGAAATATTCTCTGAATCAGTGCAGAACACCTATTTGAAATATTTTTCTTGAAATTTGGGGGAAGAGTTGAATTTTATTTATCAAAAGGTTCTGCCACAGCTGTGCCCAAACAAAGGAAAGAGATCTGAATTCAATGTCACTAGGCTAATCTCAGTAGTGTGGTGCCCATTTTTTCTTTTGTGAAAGCATAAAATGTAGAATATTATCGTGAAGAGTGAAGACTGGGAACTTCGGCCACGTGGGAACCTGGAGGGTCTCAAGCTACCATCTCTCCATGTGAATATTGGTGTGCTTGACTGAGAAGCTTTGCCAGAGCTCAGAGCTCAGAGTTCTTAGCAAGTCTGGGAGGTTTACACCTTGTTTTTCAGGGGAAAAATATCAAACTTTTAAGCATTTAATTACTTCAAACACTGCAGCTTGGCACAAGTTTTGTTGACTTATACTGGATGCTTTGTTAGAAACACCTGATGATGCTTGCTCTAAAAAGCACTGTGAGTTCTGGATAATGGTGTGTGTGTGTGTGTGTGTGTGTGTGTGTGTGTGTGTGCACGCGCACATGGATGCCCCCATCTTCAGGATCTCTTTCTCTTTAAAAATCAAGTATTTAAAAAGACGTTTTCTCCACACACCTACCAGAATGTCTACAACTAAATAAAGAAATCTTTTCAAGGATGCAGAACAAATGGAGCTCTTCGTACCTCATTGGAAAGAGTATAAAATTGCACAGCCACTTTCAAAAAGGTCTGGCAGTTTCCTATAAAAATTAAACATTCCCCTACCCGATGACCCAACAATTCCACCCCTAAGTCTTTGCCCAAGGGTAAGCAAAAGCATAAATTCACAGAAATGCTTGTGTAAGAATGTTCAAAGCAACCCAAACCTGGAACTAGCCCAGTCCATCACAGAGAACGCAGTGGGAGACTGACGCAAAGGCGTATTCAGTAATAAGACGGGAAAGATTCCCTAATCCGTACAACACAGATGAATCTCAAAAACGAGTGAAAACAGCCAAACACAGATGAATATGCACTGTACAAAGTGCTAACTGAACTGTGGTTAAATAATTAGGAACGCTGGTTACCTTGGGGGTGGGAAGGCCAGGGGTAGAGGCAGGGATAGGCTAAGAAGGGCCTGAGAGAGACAGTGAGAGGTAGAGTGAGAAATCATTCCCCAGGGGAGAGTGGCCCCACTGCAATCCTTTTTTCTCCATTTTCCTCCTGGGATTTTGGGCAGACATGCACAGGTGCCCAGTGTGATTTCAAGCTGCCAGGTCTAGGACTAGAATAGTGGTTGGCCACGTGGGAGTCCAGCGCCTTAACCAACACACCACCGGCTGGCCCTAGTATCTAGATTTTTGATTGGGTAGGGGTTGCAGAGCTAAATGCCTTTGTCAAAGCCCAGGGAAGGCTAGACTGAAAGTAGGTGAATGTCACTGAATATAACTAGTCTCTAAAAAACAAAACTAGTATCAATCTTTACTTAATAATAGGCATGCCCAAGTGAAGGGCGAAATGTACTGTTGTTTTGTAACTTTCGATAGTTGGAAATCAGAAAGATCAGATGCACCGTTGGCTGGCGAGTAGGACACAGGACACACACATGATCGAGCGAAGTGCGAACTGGAACTGAGGCGGTACGTAGGTGCAGGTTCACTCAAGAATCTCCTGACTCTTCTACATATTTAAATTTTTCACAATAAAGTGTTATGAAAAGGCTATGTTCAACTGAGTATATGGATTGGTGACTACAAACTGGAAATCTAAAGTAGAATTTCAAAATCTGTGAAAATAAACAAGAAAAGGAAATTGAGAAGAGCCAGAAACCAAGCAAGGCAAATGACAAGTCACAGTGCCTCGGACACCCTACCATGAGCCTGGGCCTGAGCAGAGCGCCATCTCGAGCCATGCCTAGGGAACCGCAGACGGCAGCAGCCAACCTGCAAGGCCTAACATTTACTTAGATGGCTGTGTGAAATACTTACTTTACTAACTTGATACATTGATTTCACAAATTGTGAAGCTGTCCCCTGAGAAATAATGACATGAAAAGACCCCTCTTAATATAATGTGTTCAAATCGACCTTTAAAAAAAAAGAAGTTATGAGACTTT